TGAACTCTTGGCGTTCTAGAACACTGACAAAATGCGTGCAAATCTGTCTCCAACAACCCCAAACAGCGTGTATAGTAAGTACCCAAATACCCTCCTTTTTGGTATTGCACCCCAAAAGAATGAAGACAAAAATTCATAAACATTTTTATTTCACATTTTTTAATGTTTAAAAACTATGTTAACAGAGCAGTTATAGAACAGAACTTCTTACATTTCTTTATTTACACCACATCCTGGGGGAAAAAAACCCCCAAAAACCTCTATATGTTTGATTAACCATGAAGAGCAAAGTTTTGTGACTTGTGACTCACTTAAATCATCCATCCGAAATTCATTTACAAGGTTTTTACATGAATGAAACAGTGATGTGCTACACGTCTGGGACTTAGATGAAGTCTAAAATACACAGATTCTAGAGTGGATTATGTACCAACCATCAAGATTCAAGTGTTTGGGGAAAACATTACTTAAGACAGTCTATGTTGGCGCCAACGCTGAAAAGTAAAGGCAGTCATGCAAGACTTTCAAAAGCTTGATAAAATAATGGTTCTTTTCTTCCTTCTTTTCTCCTTCCTTCTTCCTTCCTTCCTTCCTTTCCTTCTTTCCTCTTTCCTTTTTTCTTTCTTTCTCTTTCTTTCTCTCTTTCTTTCTTTTTTTCTCTTTCTTTCTTTCTCTCTTTCTTTCTCTCTTTCTCTTTCTTTCTTTCTTTTCTTTCTTTCTTTCTGTTTGTGCTCATAGTTAATGCTCAGGTCTTTCCCCTCATTTCAAAGATCCCAAAGTTTGGGAAATGCAGCAACTCAGTTTTGAAAAAAAAAACAAACACATTCTCCTCCCCAACTTCTGTTTTCATGAATACTGTGTAGTGGTATCAGTGTTAACGTTAAAACAGCATTATGAAGAAACAACTCGTTATTTTGGGTATATCTATTTCTATATGGCAACCACTTGGGTCTAAAATGTTCCTTATTTGTAGCTCAGAGGACTATCTTTTAAATAACTGATCTGAATACCAGTATAAGAAATCAACGCAGCTATTTTTCAGACATTTCTTTCTCTAAACAATTAAGTAAGATTTTTTAGGTTCAAAGTTTACATTAAGAGAACTATGTTACTTGGGAGAGAAGGTTAATTTTCCTAATTCCCAAACCAAACCTCTAATATCTATGAAAACATTTATTCTTGATAGGCAGATACTAGAGACTTCTATTTCAATGTGGGTTAACAACTGCAAAAATATACAGCCTCCTATGTATTTACAATATATTTATATACAAGCGAAGTATTTCCTACAATAAGCCTCAACTGCATAGATTCTTCCTTTTAAAAACACAGATTCAAGCCTGTATATAGATGGGCCCGGTTTCACAGTCCTTCCTCCGAGAAAACCCTAAAAGACAAAGAAGCTCTGAGCCTTGTGAATTTTACATATTTTTCAAGAACTTTCCCTTCAAGATTTAGTGATATTTTTCAGTTGTCAGCCACCCCCACCCCTAATTGATACCCGAAAGCCATAGATCATTATAAATAATTCACTGTATTTTTGAGGAAGTGTATTCTGTTGCTAAAAGATTCTCAGCTCTGCCATCCCTAAAGGAAATGTTCATTAACATTCTTAGATGATACAGTCTCTCTCTTTTTAGTTTGAAAGTGGCTAGAAGTTCCCTATGAACTAGAATGGAGGAATTATGTTCTCAAAGTTTACACCCTTTCTAAGCCTCAGACCTAGATAACCAGAGGGAGATGGATGGCTTTTGCACTAAAGGCATAAAATCAATTATCTGGTCATCTCATTGGCCTCCTCCCTGCCGCAAACCCAGTGAAATGCTCCATCCAGCACTCTGACGTTGACCCAGAGCTGTGCGTGAGTTTCCTCGGAGCCCTTTGCAGCCCCATGGGCAGTACGACCCTTTTAGCAGAGAACTCACTAGGAAGGAGGGCAGGACTGACCACCCCACAATGAACCCACACCTCCTGGAGACCTGACTCCTGACATGAACCAGTATTTCCTCAAAGGTTGCATTTACGAAGGGTACATCTTTTCATTCCTTTCAAAAAAAACCCCCCAAAACCCAAAACACCTCATTTTCATTTCTTCACAGCTATAAAAACTGCAATCTTAGCGTGTCTCAGCCCGCATGCAGGCAGCCCCACTGACAACTGTGCATCTGGACCAGCATTTCAGCAGGGAGGGTGATGAGGCGAGGCCCTTTCCTCCCCTCCCTAAGTCCTGGTTCCCACTTCTTGTCCTGAGAATCCTAGGAACGGTCCTCTGGGACTAAAGGGCAGGACTAGCGGGGATCAAAAAGCAAAGATTAACTGGCTCAGAGTGGTCCTCACACTTGACGTGCACCCAGATCACTGGGAGGGTGTGTTACAGCACGGTTTGCTAGGCTCACCCTGAGAGTCTCTGATTTCACTAGGTCTGGGTTGGGGCTGGAGAAGGGGCATCCCAACAAGTTTCCAGGTGATGCTGTGGCTGCTGGTCCCGGGGAGCCCCACTTTGAGAACCACTGGCCTGGAGGCCTTCAGAAAGAAGCCACTTCTGGGGGAACTGTCTGAGCTGTCCTCCGAAATACATCTTCCCACAGCCCTCTGTGGTACCACGACCATCACCCATGTATGCCTTTCTCAACAGGGTCTGCAAATGTGAAAAAGGAAAGGTGGGTGGAGAGCTTTTTAAGCCTCGTCTGATAAGCGAGCAGTTAGACCACGGTTTACTAGCCCTAACTCCATTAAAAGTGCTGTGTGCTGGCTTCAGTGACTGGCATGTGGGAGCGATATCCTTTTTGGTAGCGAGAGGAAAGGAGGTGAACTCCGGGAGCAAAACGTCCTACAAATAGAAGCAGGCAGGCCAAGCCTGAGACTCCACAGAGGAGAAAGGGTACCAGCTGAGGAACGTCCCTGGAGGCTTATGGCCCGCAGGTGGCCCCCTCACCCTCCTCCTGCCACCGGGTGTCTGGCGGCCCTGGACTTACTGCTCTCCTCCTTTGCTGCAGGCACGGCTTCAGGCCACTCAGGGCACCTCTGACTGGTGGTGTGTGGCTGGGGGAGCACTCC